ATTGTCCCACAAATTGGTGACTCTTCCCACAGTGCCCTACTCGACTGAGTGATTTTCGGCCAATATCGATACTTTCCGTATTATCTAAGGCACTTGAACGCTTGGTGTACAATCAAGTGCAGGATTACCTTGATGAGCATAAACTACTTACAGACTATCAATCTGGTTTCCGACCGGGCCACAGTACCACATCGGCACTCATCAAGGTTACTGATGATATTAAGCGTAGCTGTGACGATCGACGAATAACCTTGTTAGTTTTGCTGGACTTCAGCAAAGCATTTGATGCTGTGGATCATAGCTTACTGGTGTCGTCTCTGTCTGCTATGGGCTTTGCCCCTGAGTGCGTTACTTGGTTTAGATCATACCTTTCTCAACGTTCCTTTTGTGTGCGTGACAATTCATCTTCTTCTTCTGTGTTTCAAAGTCGTAGTGGTGTGTCATTTCATGCAACTATCATTTATATGCGGATGATCTTCAAATCTATACATGAACAACTGTGAATGAGCTTCCGGTATCCATGGCGCGGCTTAATGATGATCTGTCCAGGATACTTGACTGGTCTAAATGTTTTGGCCTGAGTTTAAATATTGCCAAGACGCAAGCTATAGCATTCGGCTCAAAACCTTTACTTGCAAAATTTTATTCTTCCAATGATACGCANCTCCATAGAGTCTTCGACCTTTCCTACAATTTGGAAACAGGCCTGCGTTGTTCCCATTCCTAAGATTAAGTGCCCTACTCGATTGAGTGATTTTCGGCCAATATCGATACTTTCCGTATTATCTAAGGCACTTGAACGCTTGGTGTACAATCAAGTGCAGGATTACCTTGATGAGCATAAACTACTTACAGACTATCAATCTGGTTTCTGACCGGGCCATAGTACCACATCGGCACTCATCAAGGTTACTGATGATATTAAGCGTAGCTGTGACAATCGACGAATAACCTTGTTAGTTTTGCTGGACTTCAGCAAAGCATTTGATGCTGTGGATCATAGCTTACTGGTGTCGTCTCTGTCTGCTATGGGCTTTGCCCCTGAGTGCGTTACTTGGTTTAGATCATACCTTTCTCAACGTTCCTTTTGTGTGCGTGACACTTCATCTTCTTCTTCTGTGTTTCAAAGTCATAGTGGTGTGCCTCAGGGAAGTGTATTGGGTCCATTACTCTTTTCAATTTTTATAAACAGTGTTACCAAATTCATTTCATGCAACTATCATTTATATGCGGATGATCTTCAAATCTATACATCAACAACTGTGAATGAGCTCCCGGTATCCATGGCGCGGCTTAATGATGATCTGTCCAGGATACTTCACTGGTCTAAATGTTTTGGCCTGAGTTTAAATATTGCCAAG